TATATGGCAGGAGCTGGGATGAGAAAACACATTATTTTTGACAACTTCGTCAGCAGGTATGGGTCATATGCTAACGCAGGGTTGGGAGGAGGAAACTGTATAATATGTGCTATAGGAAAAAGATGAAACTGCTTGCACAGGGTGATGCTAACATTAAAAAGATAGGGATCCAGATTTTTTTTCTTTGAGCACACTGTTGACGCGGGCCCAAAAACTTGTTTGGTGTGATTCGCTGTCACGTCGGGACTATCTTGACTACGATGATGTGACCGCCTTCGACAATATGTACAAGATGAACATGTATGGAATGCCGTTCATCCCTTTTGTGGATCTAAAAAACCACCGTTGAACTAAAAATCGGTAACGCTCGCACACTGCATCTAGGCTAATTATGTATTTTAGCCATGTTATCATTAGAATTCCGCAAACATTTTTGTGTTCTTCAGCTGAAAATGTTGTGTTTCTTGGAATGTTCTGCTTGATCTTTGATGATGGTCGATAATTTCAGCAAATCACAGAGTGCTCATCACATCCTTGGATGCAAAAGCTAGAGGTTGGAATTGAAGCACGCGTATGGTGGTGCTGCAGGTTGGAACATGGGCAGTAAGTCACACTTGTTGTGCCATTTCACGCTGGTTTCGTTGCGCTAGGATCGAGCAGTCAAGTGTGCAGTGCGATGGGTGTGAGTTGCCACCGCCACCATATATACTCCTTGATTCATTGTTCTGTTCATCGAAAAGAAGAGATCGATGGAGCAACCCACCGATCGATTCGCCATGGCCACGTTTCTGCTCTTGCTCATACTTGCCCTCGCCGCCGGCAGCAGCAAGCACGGAGGAGCAGCTCTAGATGGCAACGGGGACGAAACCCATCGGGTTTTGCCTTTCCAAACCCATCCCCACGAGAAAATCGCAAACCCGTCCCCGTCTCCATCATCGTGTACGGGACTAGTTTTTCGCCCGTCTCCTAAACCCATCGGATTTCGGGGAACCCACGAGAAAATAAAAATATTTAAACAAACATAGTGGCGACAAAGAATAACATTTGAATAGCAAAACCAGCACATTTCAGCAACATAACTAGAGCAAATCTCAACAAAAAACAATAGTAGATGATTCAACAGCTATATAGAGTGTATTTTAGCAGATTTAAACAACATACATAGTATATTTCGGAGGCAGCAAACATAAGATAAATAGTAGCAACAATGATATCATTTCAGCAGCAACATAGTATATTTCAGCAGCAAAACAACTACAAATTTCAGCACAATACTTAGGAATAACATCAGCTAAAAGAAGGCTATTTCAGCACAACTATAGTCCATTTCAACAACGAAGATAAGCATATTTTCGCAACAAACAGGAGCATATTTCAGTAAAAAAATGTATTTTGCCGGGTTTCGGATTCGGGGACTATCAAAACGGATGCAAACCCATGAAACGTGTCGGGTTGTATAATGTGCCCAACAACAGCTCCGCGGGGATGAAAAGACGCCCATCCCCGTCTCCCCCTAATAAGGTAAAAACCCGCGGGGATGCGAGTTTCGGGGCCCGTTGCCATCTTGAGGAGCAGCTGCTGCCGCCGGCTACGCCCGACCCGCCCTTGTCGTCATGAAGCTGCACGGTCACGACCTTCCAGACCCACGACGTCTCCTTAGCCGGCTTCACCAACGGAGGCGGCGACTGGCAGGCTTTCCCAGGCCTCGCTCACCTGTTCCCGACGTCCACGCCCCTCCCGTTCGGCAGCAGCTACGACGACCTCATCGGCGGCCTTGCCAACCTGCCGAGGGTGCCCCTGGGGCGGCAGGCCATGGCCGACACCGCCCGGGTGCTCTCCGCCTACGACCCGTCTGCGGCCACGGTCGCCGACGTCGAGCCAGTCAAGCGCGCGCTGGCAGCGCTCAAGGTGATGCTAGGCGAGGCGCAGCGGCTGCAGCCCATCCACGAGACCGTCGTTCGCGGGTGGGAGAGCGAGTGCCGCGTCGCGCCCGAGCACCTGCCCTACATCGACCACTGGGACACCATTTCCTACGAGATCATCTGCGCCAACCGGACGGGCAAGTGGAACGGGCCCTTCGCCAAGATGCTGGAGACCCAAGCCAACATCCGCAGCCAGGAGGAGGCGCTCGCCGTCGTCCGGGTGCTGCTCCATGCCGACTTTGAGCAGGTGCTCGAGGCTCACGGCACCAAGATCAACTTCAAGTAAACATGCATGCAGAGTTCAGATTGATTTGTGCTCCATCTCGTATCGAGTCCATGTATTTTCTAAACCATGACCGTGTTGTTAATCATCTGATCTGATTTGGGTGATGTATGCCTTCACGCAGCTTTGTGAGCTTCAATATGTTCTACTCACGAAATAAAATGGTGCTAAAGACTAGGACATGGTGCAGTCCATTTCTAGATGTGCCTCACCTGCTAGCTAAGCATACTTACGTACCAACATTATTTATGTAATTAATGCTGAAATTCTGAAAGAGATACATTCATGCATGCATGGAGAATCTCATTATCTAAGATGTGCTCTCAAATTTCTCAAAAAAGCGTCTTATGTTAACATGTACGGCTTGTTTTTTAGGAGCATCCTGCTTTATTCCTCAAGGATAATCAACAGAGAGGGCCTCCCAAATACAATCCGGGATTACGTTAAAAATAGACTCACTAGAGGACTCAACTAATCTAGCAAGAATATGCGCCGCGACATTCAACAAATGATTTACATGACTAAAACAAATGGCCGAGAAGAACGACACAAATTCCTTATATCTATCAGCAGTAATGAGCGCCACCGGATAACAAACAGTCTGATTGGAAAACCGTCCTTGGAACTCCTTCCTGACATGCCCTGCTAATAGCTGCTCAACGCGCGGCACGCTAAAAATCAGTTTGCAGCGTGCCAATCGCCTGGTTTGGCGCGGCGGACAGCGCTAGCTTCAGCAGGCAGCAGCCGTGGTAAAATGCAGCGCGCAAAAATGCAGCACGCGTGCATAGATATTTTGTCACCATACATAGTCATAGCATAGATAAAAAGTGATACAAAGATATTTTACATAGTTCATAGCATAGATAAAAGACGATACAGAGATATTTTACATAGTTCATAGCATAGATAGACAAAAAGAACTACGGTGCAACTACATAATCAAACTACGATGCAACTAGATAAACTACGGTGCAACTAGAACTACTCCGAGTCGTCATCATCATCATCTTCGTTGGTGTTGTCCGTGGTAGAGATCCGCACGTCCTTCCAATGTTCATCGTCGGACGTGAAGAACGACTTCCCACCGGCGTTGATGAGATCGCACTGCGATATGGCCAGTGCCTTCCGCCGACGCCGGTCCGCCCGGGCCGCGCGGTGCCTTGCCGTCCTCTCCGCCTAGAAGGTGCGCTCGTTGGCACGTCCTCCGGGTGGGGCCGGCGCCACTCCGCCATGGCTCGCTCGTCCTCCTCGGCGATGAGGAGGCGGTGCTGCCGCCGACGCTGCTCCGCATGGTCCAGGTCCGTGATAAGACGAGGAGGACGGGCGATGGCCCGCGCCTGCTCGCACGTGTAGATGTTGCGGAAGTTCATCTACGAGGGAGGCCTCTCTAGGCGCCACGCAACCGCGTCGTACGCGTGGGCGGCCTCGTGCGCGGTCTCGAACGTGCCGAGGCCGAGCTGAACGTCGCCGGACCGGATCTCGGCGTAGTACGCGCCGGAGGGGCGCTCGCGAACGCCGCGGTAGCCCGAAGTTGCTTGGCGGCGCAGCGGCATGGTGGCACGGTGGCGGCGAGGCGTTGAAGCAGAGGAAGCGGCGAGAAAGCAGTGGAAGCGGCGGGGAGACGGGGAAAATGCGCGCGTGACAGTGTGGAGCACCGCGTGGCGAGCGCCGCAATTTATAGGCGCGCCGGAAACGGTGCGCCAAATCTACCGCGCGACTAACAGCTTTCTTCCGCGCGCTTGTTTCCCGTCTCCACTGGAGCGTGCGAAAACTTCCCGTGCACGTTAAATGGGCAGTTTACCCCGCGCGCGCGTCTTTTGACGCGGCTGTTGAAGATGCTCTTAGTAGCAAATAGATTGTGGCACGAAAAGTGGCACAGTAGTAGCAAATAGCCTTCTGCTGCAACATTTTTAAGCCTGAAACAACTTCGAAAGATGAAAGAGATTCTACAAAGAAACCAGTTGATGGCACCCTCCGCATTGCATTTGTTAGTCGGGGCACGCCTTTGCCACCGTCTTACTGCATACGGTTGCGAATCATAGAACCGCCATTGCACCGAAGCATGCATTGAACAAGGCACAACAATTCCAACACGGACTGAACAGTAATTAACGAAAGCAGCGCCAAATAAAGAAAATGGATTATAGCATAATATTCCCTTAAACATTCTAAACATGACCAAGTCTTCATGGATTCGATAATAAGGAAATGAAGAAGGGGAACGAAATAAAATAAAGCATTTCTAGTGGATGAGCTTCTCTCCATTTTGTCTGGTAATAGAATAGGGCGGCCTGCTTTGACCAACACTCCACTTTTTGCTCTGCCATTGGAACTTATGAATTTCCTTAAATGTAGGTAGACCAAAAAAGGGAATAAAAAGATAGGAATAGGAATTATAGTATCATTGGAAGGAGAGGCACCAACGGGAACATCTCTACTAACGAATCATTTCAATAGTACGGGTGCTGCCGTGTCACGAGGCACGACCATGGAAGTAATGAAAAAGAAGAAGTTCTGTAGTTGGACCATCTGCTCTATCCGTTCGATTTGAGCTTCTCCAGAGAAGATGGGACGCTAAAAAATGAAAGTGTTCGCAACGCATACCGAAAAAAGGTATCTATGTTGTCGACCATTAATGACTAGTTTGAAGACCAAGAGCAGGGGCACGTGCCAAGAAAAATTTGTTACTCTCCCTACACTGCAAACAAACTAAACCAACGTCCACGACTACTCGACTTCAACATAAAACTAAGAAATGACGATGCACACAACGCTCATCATTATAGCAGACGGGCTCACAGACCACCGCGGAGGCGGAGAACGAGGTGGAGGGTTGACTCCTTCTGGGTGTTGTAGTCGGCGAGGGCGCGGCCATCCTCGAGCTGCTTGCCGGTGAAGATGAGACGCTGCTGGTCCGGGGGGATGCCCTCCTTATCCTGGATCTTGGCCTTAACGTTGTCGATGGTGTCCGATGATTCCACCTCCAGTGTGATGGTCTTGCCGGTCAAAGTCTTGACGAAGATCTGCATCTGGAGGAGACAAAAGATTTTAGGATCGCATGGTCAGCCAACCGACTGGTAGACTAGAACATCATAAACAGACTCGGTATGAGAAACATGAGACCGATGTGGTCATCTATCAATCAACCAACAAGCACCCGATCAAAGGTTAAAAGGTAAAAAGAAGCACCTGATCGATATGCAAACAGTTTATCTGTTAAACTGAAGGGCAAAAATACTGGAGTACTATGATACTATGATGACATGATAGGATGACATCTTACTAGTACAGGTCAGATCGACAACTGATTTAGTGGCATAGCATAGAAGGAATCATCATGAAAAGCAAATGCGATATTTTGTAAATTAGCAGATACGGTACTACTAGTAGACAATGAAAAATTCCAACAGATCGTTAGTTTCACTATGTGTTGGATCGATCCTAATCTACCCTGACAAGTCATGATAAGGAAGTTCTAGAAAATTCTGGAACCACAATACACCTAGCTCAGTTAATGTAAAGCACTGTAGCTCGAAAACTTGAAGGAAACAAACTAGAGCGGCAAGGTTTACTAAAATCGCAAGCTAGTCTATGTGATCGATCGGGAGCCAATTGCCACGACCCACGTGGCCCGACCTCCTACGTGTTTTTTAGGAAACCACCTCCTGTGTTCTCTCTTAGACAATTTCATGAAGATTTTCCTTTATTAAGTCCTAACATTTACATGAACGAACACAAGATCACCACATTGACCTAAGGGCATCTAAAATCGGATTTGGCAAATCCGGCCTCCGATACGCCCGCGGGCGCGTCCGCGGACAGCGCCCACCGGCCCCTCATCTGTTGTGCCGCACCATCCACATACCTTAAATGTCGATCCTAAAATTCATGTAATCCATGCACGTCGATCATACGATATAAATTATCCGAATTCAACAGTTCGAAACAAATCAAAGCAAATCAGTTCAACAAACCAGACATGTCAAAATGAAATCAATGTCCGAGCATGACGGATGGCTCGCTTGTCGGATCACTGGCCGGACGCCATCCATGCCGCCTGCTCCGAGCCCAGGCGGACTGCGTCCTGCTCCTCCTCTTCCGCTTGCATCCGGGCTGCCTGCTCCGCCTGCATCCTGGCCGCATGATCCGCTACCGCTGTCACAGACGCCCTCGCCACCTCGCACTCCCTACTGTCATTGATCTCCTTCTTATCCGCATGCCATTTCTTTTTGCATCTAAGAGGGTTTCGTCCGCCAATATGATATTCGCATCCTCGGCGTCCCGTGCGGGGTTCTGAGCGTGGTTTGGGGGGGGGGCAGCTGCTCGACCATGTCCCCACCTCCCTGCGACGCCGTGGTCGCCTGCCTCCCTCGCTATCGGCGTCGTCGCATCTTCCAGGTGACATTTCTGCCTTACAAGACGAAGCCGAGGAAGGGATGCCGATGGACGAGGCAGAGTGCGTCTCCATCACGGCGGTCGGGGACGGGCGGGACGACATCTACGACGGTGGATCAGGACCGGTTTTAGCATGGGGAGCAAGAGTGGCGAACGGCAAGGGCTCAGGCGCGGGAAAGGTTGGAGGCGGTGGGAGAAGGAGGAAGGATTTGGTGGATTTGGTGCAATTTGCGGTGGGGTCGGGCTGCCAGGTTCAACGTGGCGGGCGCGTCCGAGCGCCTGCATATCCGTCCCGTAATTGAGTTGAATATGATGGGTGCCGGTCAGCCCGGGCATCTGAGGCCCGTTTAAGGAGTCTGTGTGGGCGTTTGAGATGCGTTTGGGGCGTACGGCTGTAGATGATCTAACCAAACATAATGGCCAACCCCTAATGCTATGTTTGGATATTCATATTCAGGCTTGGAAACTGATTTGGTACTGATAGGGGTCCAATTTGGTCGTTTGGATGCGCTCTGTATTGAAGCGTCGAAACCTGGCCCAATACTGAACCGAAACATTCACGCGTGAAGCACTCTCCCACGATACGGGCCCCCAAGGCTGTGATTTCCGTTGAATTCGCATTTCTCCACTCTCCTCGCTACCGATGCATAAACGTTGATCTTTGCTAAGCTCACCGACGGAGGGAGCCACTGTGTTGGTCTTGAGGATGGCGCACACGAGATGATCACAGTCGACGTTCGGCTTGCCAAGTATATGGAGATCTAAAATAATGGCTGCTATAAAATTTCGCATTGAGAGGGGACTCTGGAAGATGTCCTTATTCCTTATCGCACCCCAGAATGCCCATAGGGTAACCACCATGCAAATAAAGTCATCATGGGACAACATTTCATGCATAGCAAAGATCTAGTTATTTGCATTCGCAACGTGGTTTAGGCACATGTGTTCAACCAACCCCTTCACAAATAGAGCCCAAACGCTTGGTGCCATTGAACAGTCCATCAAAGCATGTCTCCAAGAATCGGCCCACATGTGCCAGCACCACAAAACTTTGTTGTTAAGCATCCTGCGCCCTCGAATCCGGCCAAGAATAAAAACTTATCTCAAGGAATGTGGGTTGGACCTCCTCAAACGTCCGAAGTATCTAACTCTTCGACTCAAACAAAAAGAAGGGAAGACGCGGTTGCAGTGAAGGAAGATGTCGAAGAAGAGCAGCCAATTAATGCACAAGTGACGCCAAATCCAAGGGAGTCCTCGGACGTGGAATCAAGATGGAGCACCAATTGAACTCGCCTATGAAGCCGAAGACCTAAAGACACACTGAGGAGTTCGATGTCCTGGGCTTGAAGACTAGTTCAGGGGTATTGACAGTGTCCCGGACTAGGGGGTGCTAACCACGTCGGCCCTTTGTACTCGGTCGGGCCAAGGAACCTTGGATCATCAACAAGTGGGAAAGATTGCCATGCCTCCTAACACGATCAAGATGGAATCCTCCGAAGACTGCACTCCAATACTCGTTTAAATCTTTGGCATACTTATCCCTAGATGTAACTGACCTCATGTAACCCTAGGTACCCCGGGCTTCTATACAAGTTGAGGGGTTTTAGCTTGTAGAGGGAGAGATTCATTCACATACGATCTCGAGGTAGATCATCTTATACTTTGTACTCCAACACAATCAATACAACAAAAGCAGAACGTAGGGTTTTACCGCTTTGAGAGGGCCCGGACCTGGGTAAATATTGTGTCCCTTGTTCATCCTGTTATCATCTAGGTAAGGTCACCAGCTTGGCATCCCCTATCCGAGAACTGTCGGATTTAACCCCGACACCATCGACAAGGTCAAGACGACTCTGGTAGGAGAGCGGCGACAGCGGCTTGTTCTGGTGACAGTAGTGCCCGTTCAATGGTCTTGAAATCTCGATGTAATTTCTGTTATGTTTGAGGTGTTTTTGTACTTCCGATGAACTATGATAATAGATCTGGATCATTTCAAAAACATGAATATTTTTTCTAAAACTCGTGAAAATTCAAAAAAAATTGTGAACATTTTTTAAAATTCAATAACACTTTTTAAAATGTCAATACAAATTCTTTGAAATTTGTGAACATTTTTAAACTTCACAAACATTATTTTTGACCATGATCACAAGCGAGCGCTATCGGTCTTGGCCTAGCACTACATCGTGCCACAAATGGGCCAGAATAGGAGTCCCGACCGCGCCACTAGGGTTGTAGGCATTTGTTGTCGACGTGGCGGCATGGGTCGTGCTTCGTACTAAATTACGAGCCTCCCTCGAGGGTTTCTTATGATTCTCCACCAATCACATTGTCAACAAAGCCACATATCCAATCTCCTCCTTCTCAAGGTAACAAAGCATTCCATTATGATCTCTTATCATCTCTAGTGTCTTTACATCGTTCAGGGTTCCTTTGATTCAAAAGAACTTCATACGAATTTTGGAGGATTTGTATCCTTAGAAATTTTTCCTGTACAGGTTGTTTGCTTCATAGGGTTGGAATCCTTGGGAAAATTTCCTAAGGATTGCTTTGCACTTTATTTCGAGGAAATTTCCATCCAATCAAAATTGTTGTATCAAACACTCATTGCTCCAAACATTTTTTTAACTGAGAGATTGTTAGTCAAATGTTGGTTTTTGAGAAGTCGCTCGCAATTGTGGTGGTTTTTGGCAATTTACTCGGATTATTTTTTTTTAACAATCTTTAATCTGACAGTGCTTATAACGTTAGATGGGTATTTGAATATGCTAAAAATGGCATTGCCACTTGACATTGGCAATACCCTCCCTAATCTCCAGATTCTTACCCGGTAACATGATTGAAGGTCATATCCCAACTTCGATGGGCAATGCTTCTGTGCTAGTACTGATAGGACAACTAAATTCACTATATCTCTCATCTAACAGACTTTCCGGGAAAATCGTGTCCCCTGAAATCCCCTAACATCGACTAATGTCTATTAAGTTTCTACAAAGCACCCAGCATCGGCTGCTACAAGCATGCTGCTGTCGGTGATGCGCGCGCTACCGTAAACTACTCAATGCTGCAAGCCGATGCTCAAGGACGACACGCCGCTGCAAGCCCACGCTTGGGGACGGTGTGCTGCTGCATGGGCACCGATACTGCAACGCCATGTTGTCATTGTCGTCCTTACCATAGCAGCGGCCCTGTTGCAGAAGCACCGCCTTGCCGCCCCGTAGCAGCGTCTCGCTACACGGTTGGCGGTCACCATCCTGCTCGCAGCTGACAAGCTGCTCGTTCGGCTCGGAATTGCAACATACGCGACATTGCGTCCGGATTACAGCATGACCGATGTTGCGGTCAGATTGCCTTGTCACTGATATTGCAGCAGCTAGTAGGTGGCCGCTCGATCACACTGATCCAATGGCTCTCGACCCGGCCGATCTTTGTCAACAGAGCTGCGGTTATGATTTTACATAAAAAAGCAGCGCGGTTGCAAGCATCATGGCGAAAGGAAAAGCCAAGGAAGCTACCATATTATAGTTATTATGCAACAGAGAATGGCCACACGCCTTAATTAATGCGATCGTCAAACTCGCTCGCACATAGATGCACTTCTAAAACAAAGAGGAAAAATAAGCTGACAAAAGCAAACGTACATAAATGCACTTCTAAAAAAAAGTCTCCTGCCAACCAGTCGTACCAAATACTAATGATGGTCGCAGCCATCAGTGTTTATTCAGAAACCTAGCACATCACAGAACCTAAAACCTGAAGTACCAACGCAACAAAAACTCACTCACTCCTAATAGATAGGCTTATTCAGCTAGCGCAGAAAGCTCTCCATAACTTCCCCTTGCACATTTGCCACCAACTCTCTGTTTCGAACTCGATCTTCTGTCTGTAGAATTGACAGTCTGCGAATTCAGAGTCTGCCCTTGCCCTCAAGACGATCTCTCACAGTTATTAACAGTTCATCTAAACCAATGAGTTTCCTCACAAGAGAGTTCTTCTCATCCTCAGCGTCAATACAAAGTGAGAAGGCCTCTATCTCTGCAACATTTGCGTCACCATCCTTAATCAAAGCTTCTTTATATGATCGTAATGCTTTTATAAGGACAGATGAATCCTTTTCTGTACTCTCAAGACCGACATAATCAACACCTTTTCCAGTAACCTCAGATTTTGAATCCTCCTGTGACAAAATGGAAATTCAGTGTAAATAAGAATTCAAGTTTTTATGCAGACAAATATGTGCAAGGGAACAGAATTTAGCGATTCTGATCATTTTATCTAGCTTTAACAGAGACAATGAAAGTGGAATAAATTACTGATACACCACTGCATTCTAAAACTTTCTAAATCTACTATATCATTATATAATACAAAAGCAATTGAAAATGACAGTTAATACTTGATAGAACTAGTAAAATTTAATTAGATTGGAGTGCCTTATTAACTATAGGAATCAAACCAATATGTAGGCTAAAAAAATGTGAAGATTTTATGGACTTAGCGGATGGCTAATAGCCTAATATGTATGCAAAAATGCATAGGTGAACATGGCGCCACGCGAGGTCTTTATCTCACCATCCATTTCTCGCAGATTTATATCGTATTCATACCATAAGCAGTGCATATCACGTATATTGAATATTCCTCCTTGCAGTATTGAATCTGTATTCCACAAAACAATCAATGCATAAGGGGCCACATGCTTGACAAACATGACCCAACTCATTTACTAGGCACAGGTTGGGAACGTTAACTGCATTTGAAGCCTGCACCATCATCTCTCTCCATCCAGCGTTGTTGAAGTTGGAAAGTGAGGTATTTTAGTGTCATCACATTTACTAGGCACAGGTGAGGATTAATGCACCACGTCTTAATGTGTGCTGCTCCACTACATATTACTAGTGCACCACCCTCTACAGTTGCAACGAAAATGTGTAGTCTGCTAATTGGTCTGAACTTTTTTTAGATGAATTAGTCTGAACTGTTAACTATGCTAGATCAGCTTAGGTCTATCTCCATGTCAGGTCAGGCATGTGCGTACACATGATTAATGTTTCTAATTTGCAACTAAAAATTGTTCCTAAATTGCAGTTAATATTTTGAAAAATCAGGAATCCATGATTTTAATTTTTAAATATATACCCACAGCATAAAATTAAACTAGTTCACCTAGAACAAATAATCAGAGCCCCAAATAGCTATTTTCCTTTTTAGAATAATTAGTGTAAACTTTTAACTATGCTAGATAAGGTTTGCTCTATCTCCATGTCAGGTCAGGCATGTGCATACACATGATTAATATTCCTAAATTGCAACTAAAAAATGTTCCTAAATTGCAGTAAATGATTTAAAATTTCAGGAATCCAAGATTTAAATTTTGAAAAATACGTCCACTGCATAAGATTAAACTAGTCCACCTAGAACAAATAATCAGAGCACCAATAACTATTTTTCTTTTTTGGATGAATTAGTGTGAACTTTTAACTATGCGAGATCAGCTTAGGTCTATCTCCATGTCAGGTTAGCTAGGCATGTGCACAAACATGATTAATATTCCTAAATTGCAAGTAAAATACAATGTTCCTAAATTCCAACAAATAATTTAAGATTTCAGGAATCCAACATTTTAATTTTCAAAAATATGTGCACTACATAAAATTAGACTAGTCCAATTAGAACAAATAATCAGAGCCCCCCAATAGCTATTTTTCTTACTTTTTTATCCACATTTGCCCATGTATCTTCCAGTATGTGGTGCGTCCTCACCTATCGCACAATCCGTGTCATGTTATGCTTATCACTCAACAATCCATTTTGATGTTGTTCTGCTGATATACAATCAGCACTAGAAATTAATTCATTTTTGTCTCAATTGTTGTGCTTACCACATGATTAAGATGCAAAACAGCAGGAACCATACAAATTAGCGTGCCTCGCACAAGCCAAGCACCATAAATCTCTCACATGCTGCCGACATTCGTTTAATTTTCCGCGTAGACGATTGTAAATGAGTGGGCAGGTCATCAATGCACCCAGCAAATATTACCGATTGACTAAAGTACAAAGTAGTACTCCCTCCGTTTTTATTTAGTCCGCATATTAGCTTTGGTCAAAGTCAAGCTTTGTAAACTTTGACTAATTTTATAAACAAAAATATTAATATATACAATAACAAATCAATACTATTAGATTCATTATTGAATGTACTAACACATCATATAGATTTGTTATGGTAAATGCTTATAATTTTTTCTATAAAGTTGGTCAAACTTTATGAAATTTGACTTCAGTCAAACCTAATATGCAGACTAAATAAAAACGGAGGGAGTATGCATACGAATTTAAAGCTTTGAGGCCCACTCCTGCCCGGTAAAGAAAAGCGTATTCCAGTGCATTATTAAGCAACATTGTTTGTATTGCAGCAAATACTATATTAATTAGTAATCTAGATGCAAACTCAGACGGCTGAGATAACGGCAGCGCATGGAACCATGTCCCCAAAATTCGCGTCCATATGTATGCACCTATAGCTAGAAAGCACATATATATGTTGCCCGCCTCCAAAAACATGGAAAATGTTAGATAGTGCCATTGGGATAATCATGTGCACATATATATAGTAGTGGAAATCAAAGCTTGAATCGTGTTGTGTACGAATGAATATATTGGCAAATGCTTAGTTCTCACTGACGTCAAATTATGAAGGACATATTTATTAAATAAGACATAAATTTGAAACCGATGTAGAAGACCAAAAAAATTAGGAGAAAGAAAACCTAACTTAGGCATATAACTTATCCATATCTGAATACTTAAACACTACTGCAAAACCTAGCTATACATATACTAGTTATAGATTATGTATGTGGAGCTTTATAATAATGCTATCATATAATCTGCATTGACAAACTTTTAAACACCATTGACAAATCAGGCTATTCATGTACTAGTTATAGATTCTATATGTGGAGCTTTTATATCTCAATGCTACTGCTATCATATAACATGCATAAACCGTCATGCTAGAAGTTAACAATTTTGCATCCTCTTGTAGTAATGTAAAACGGAAAGTTGAGGTTGTGTACTATACAACCTCGGTCTCAAATTACTTGTCTTAGATTTGTCTAGATTATGCATGTGGAGTATTTTTTTTTTTTTTGAAGGAATGGGAATAGCACTGCTAGCTCCTCTACTACGAGTTATGCAAAGGCATGTTACTTTGACTAAAACTGATAGCATATCATAGCAGTACAATCGCCTCAGGAAATATCATTGCATACAATTTATGGACCAAACATAAAAAGGAAGAGAATCCTTAGCACCATGGTCACATTGCTTACCGAGATGTATTCCATAGAAGGAGGCCAGGCCGAGTAGGGATGGACGTGGAAGCTAGGTCGCTTTCTATTCTTCAGATGCTGCTTCAGCTCTGCTGTTTCCAGAGACAAGGACAGGAACCACTCAGGGGATTTGAACTGATCCACATAATTCTTCCATGAGCGAAGTGCAAAGTACACAAAACCATTGAAAACCGTCATAAGCCGCACTGAGATTGTATCTTCCACTGAGCAGCTGGTGACCTCCATAAAGCTAGAGTGCAACGGGAACATCTTGTGCAGCACAAATCTGTCAACGCCATCATCGTCCGCTGTCAAGATCCAAACAGAAAGTGTGCATTCCTTCTCATCTACGATACAGAGCTTTCCATCATGGTCTGACCAATCTTAAATTTTTGGTGTACCACTCTCAAGGGCGGCGGCAGATCCATTCGAGAGAACTGAAATGTATCTGTTTTGAGCACGAAAACGTACTCGCTGACATACACCCCCATGATGGACTCGGTTTGCCAACAGATAAACCCATCTAGCACGGTGCAGGCTGTGCGCCTGAAGCCCTGAGGCAGCAGCGTCGCAATCTCCGGAAAAATCTGCCACTCCATGGTGTCCGATGAGAAGACAGCGATGCGTAGCCTATCCCATGAGTAGTCTTGACGGACACATACCACACGGGACGGCCTCTGATCCTCTTCGGAGCAGAATGTGTGGAACCCAAGGGAGGTGCCGTCGGGCATGTCATGGTGCTCCTTGGGGCGGAGAAACAGAGCCATCGTTTGGGGGTTGTACCAAACTCCCTGCTTGATGATCGGGTGTTTGATGGCCATGCAGCCGCCATTGTAGGCCGAAGGATTGGAGAAATCGACCCGCCAGTCAGAATCGTCGTCGTCTAGGAGGTGGGTGAATCCGGCGAAGGGCCGTCGTGAGGTGGGGAAGGCCATTATTGTGTATGCGAGGAAGCGAGGGAGGAGCGGGGGTGCGTGGAGCGCGCAGAAGCGGCGGCGGAAGGCGCGGGACGAACGGACGGCGCCGAGGAAGCCGGAGCAGGTGAGGGCGGCAGAGGCGAGGCTGGGGAAGTTCGGGAGGCGGAGGAAGATCTCTCGGAGCAGGTAGTCGTCGAGGTCACTTATGGTGGTGGGAGCGGGTGGTATGGGGTGTGCCGGCGGCGGCGACGGGTGGGAAGCCATGGCTGGTTGCGCTGAAGCGAAAACAGAGGAGTGAGGACTGAGGAGTCGACGAGAGAAGAGATTAACAAGTGACCATTGGTTTGTTAGCGAGATAGAGGGGAGAAGTTGCGCTTCCACGTCTAACACTCTCCTCCTGTTCTCTAGGGATGAATGCATATATCCACTCAGCTATAGCTCGGGTTGTTAGGCAGTGCCACTTTTACATTTTTATTACTAAATATAAGCTTGATTGGCTAAGAAAAACTAAATATAAGCTTGTTCAAATCTGATTGCTCCTATTTTATATATAAACAGAAACACTATTACACTGGTACATTCATTAAAATAGGAAAAGGGCTTGAAGAACTGAAGAAAAATAGGAAGCCGTGATTTGGAGTGCGGGCTCAGATGAGCCCGAAATCCTGTGCATCCATTGTTGCTTTGGGATACTGGAAAAGGGGACTCTCCGTCAAGCTTGATAGCAAGAAGAATAAGGATACTGAGAGAATACAGTATGTCCAGGACCCTCGAAAAAAACAGTTTGTCCAAGTGGGCCATATTCATATGAGCGGGGAGCGTCGACGTTAGTAGGTCGTCGCATCATTTTCCTGAACTGTGGACCAGGACGTCTCGTGTGCCTGTGGGCTTCGTGCGTCAGAATTTGTGAATGGGTCGGCGATGGTGAGGCGAGCCGAAGAAGAGGAGCGGCAACAGGTTTGTCCTCCGAGCAACTGCCGATGGGATGGAGGTCGGCGGGATGGACATCTTGATGGATCCAGTCGCCAGGTGAGTTCCCCTTTCTTGATCCAAACCTCTACTGATGATCCAGCACATCCGCACTCAATGATTGATGAGTACGATGTAGGTTTCCGCTGTGAGAGGTGTCCGCCGACAGTCTCGAGCACTCAGATTTGGTGGCCCCTTGCCGTGCCGCAGCGGGGAGGATCGGAGGCAGAAGCAACCGAGGAATCGAATGCTACTTCTGGGTGCGCACATGCGTTCACCATAGGCGACGAGCAGCGCAAGAGGAAATGTTCTCCTACATAGTCTATGCAGTCGACTGGGTAGGTGAATTCAGAAGCACACGTTTGCCGCCACATCTCGCAGAAAATTGCCACAACCCACGTGGCATAACCCCCTACGTGTTGTTTTAGGAAACCACCTCATGTGTCTTTTATGGACGATCTCACGAAGCTTTTAGTAAGTCGTTATAATATTTACAAGGTCAAACAAAAGATCATCAGGTTGAACTAACCAAACATAATAGCCAACCCCCTAACGTTGTGTTTGGATGTTCGTATTTGGTTGTCTGGATGCGCTCTCTATTGAAGCGTTGAAACCTGGCCCAATATCGATCAGAAAAGTCCATGCGTGAATGCACCCTCCCATGATACAAACCCCCGAGGCTCTGATTTTCGCTGATTTCGCCTTTCTCCACTCTCCTGCAAAACATACCGATTCATTCTACCGAAAAAAAGAAAGTCGAGAAGGGGCGAGAGGCGCGACGGAGGAGCTGAGATACGCCTGGCCAGCAAAGGTCGATGCGGGCACCGACGACGATGTCCTTGCCCTCTCCCCCGTTCACTCCATCGCTCAAGCCTTGGAATTTCTATGCATGTACATGCTAGCTTTTAATCTATTTGCATTGTGAAGATTTGTAAAGTAAACACTATATGGTAGCTTTTAATTCAATTTGTTGTGCATATCTCATTTGACCAGCCAAACATGATTCCAATGTTTGTCGTGCAAACATGATTTGGAACTGAAGCCTAACTAGGATTCCATGCTTAAATTCAATGACCAGCCAAACAAAAGAATTTGTATTGTGCTTATTATGGTTTCCTGGTTGAATTCATATTCCATCCAATTCAATATGAAGACCTCCAATACAGACATCCAAATAGAGTGTAATGTAAAGCATGCTTCGGTAGATTGCGAGCCTCGAAGTTTAAGCTCCTAAACTCGTGAACAAAATTACACAAAGTAAAAACACCTGAGTGCTATATGATTTCATGTATTCTAGCTCCATAGCCGGCCAAGTTGTTGCTCGATATCATCAGTCACCACCTGGCATAGACGCAATATGGATCCTCCGTAAATTTAGATCATTGGTGAGGACTAGTGCCTCCCGGACTGGCAGTGCTCTAGGGTGAATAAAAACGCCAAAGCTCCCAAGTAGACACCAGCATGGTCTTGTATCACCGCTGCAACAGCTCCAAAACCCGAACTCCTCGCTACCCATGCATCGACATTGATCTTTGTCATGCTCACCGCCAGAGGGAGCCATTGTGTCGGTCTTGAGGATGGTGCGTGTGTGATGATCATAGTCGGCTTGTCAAATATATGGAGATCTAATATAAAGGCTGCTATAAAATGAGAGGGACCCCTGAAAGATGTCCTCATATATAAGCTTTCCTTCTCGCACCCTAGAATGCCAATAGGGTAACCATCATGTGAATAAAGTCACCATGGTAGCATTTCATGTGTAGCAAAGATCCAGTTGTTTGCATTCGCAACCTGGTTTAGGCACATGTGTTCAACTAACCCCTCCTCGGATAGAGCCCAAAATCTTCATGCCATTGAACAATCCATCAAAGCATGTCTCCAAGAATCCTTTGCATCGCGTAGAACATAGGTGGTCGAGGTGGACATGTTCCTGTGTTGGGCAAGACGCCACATGTTGGAGAACGTAGCAATAATTCAAAAAAAAATCTACGTGTCACCAAGATCAATCTATGGAGTCATCTAGCAACGAGGGAGGAGTGGATCTACATACCCTTGTAGATCGCGCGCGGAAGCATTCAAGAGAACGGGGTTGATGGAGTCGTACTCGTCGTGATCCAAATCACCGATGATCCTAGCGCCGAACGGACGGCACCTCCGCGTTCAACACACGTACGGAGCAGCGACGTCTCCTCCTTCTTGATCTAGCAAGGGGGAGGAGAGGTTGATGGAGATCCAGCAGCACGACGGCGTGGTGGAAGTAGCGGGATTCCAACAGGGCTTCGCCAAGCGCTGCGGGAGGAGGGAGATGTGTCATGGGAGGGAGAGGGAGGCGCCAGGGCTTGGGGTGTTGCTGCCCTCCCTTTCCCCCACTATATATAGGGCCAAGGGAGAAGGGGGGCGCAGCCTTTGGCCCTTCCTCCAAGGAAGGGTGCGGCCAAGGGAGGAGTCCCTCCTCCCCAAGGCACCTCGGAGGTGCCTTCCCCTTTTAGGACTCTTCCTTTCCTTCTTCTCTTGGCGCATGGGCCTCTTGGGGCTGGTGCCCTTGGACCATATAGGCCAAGGCGCACCCCCTACAGCCCATGTGCCCCCCCCGGGGCAGGTGGCCCCACCCGGTGGACCCCCGGGACCCTTCCGGTGGTCCCGGTACAATACCGGTGACCCCGAAACTTGTCCCGATAGCCGAAATAGCACTTCCTATATATAATTCTTTACCTCCGGACCATTCTGGAACTCCTCATGACGTCCGGGATCTCATCCGGGACTCCGAACAACTTTTGGGTTACCGCATACTAATATCTCTATAACCCTAGCGTCACCGAACCTTAAGTGTGTAGACCCTACGGGTTCGGGAGACATGCAGACATGACCGAGATGACTCTCCGGTCAATAACCAACAGCGGGATCTGGATACCCATGTTGGCTCCCACATGTTCCACGATGATCTCATCGGATGAACCACGATGTTGAGGATTCAATCAATCCCGTATACAATTCCCTTTGTCTAGCGGTACGATACTTGCCCGAGATTCGATCGTCGGTATCCCGATACCTTGTTCAATCTCGTTACCGGCAAGTCTCTTTACTCGTTCAGTAACATATCATCCCGTGGTCAACTCCTTCATCACATTGCGCACATTATGATGATGTCCTACCGAGTGGGCCCAGAGATACCTCTCCGTTTACACGGAGTGACAAATCCCAGTCTCGATTCGTGCCAACCCAACAGACACTTTCGGAGATACCTGTAGTGTACCTTTATAGCCACCCAGTTATGTTGTGACGTTTGGCACACCCAAAGCACTCCTACGGTATCCGGGAGTTGCACAATCTCATGGTCTAAGGAAATGATACTTGACATTAGAAAAGCTTTAGCGAACGAACTACATGATCCTTGTGCTAGGCTTAGGATTGGGTCTTGTCCATCACATCATTCTCCTAATGATGTGATCCCATTATCAACGACATCCAATGTCCATGGTCAGGAAACCGTAACCATCTATTGATCAACGAACTAGTCAACTAGAGGCTTACTAGGGACATGGTGTTGTCTATGTATCCACACATGTATCTGAGTTTCCTATCAATACAATTCTAGCATGGATAATAAACGATTATCACAAACAAGGAAATATAATAATAACTAATTTATTATTGTCTCTAGGGCATATTTCCAACAGTCTCCCACTTGCACTAGAGTCAATAATCCAGTTCACATCGATATGTGATTAACACTCAAGGTCACATCCCCATGTGACTAACACCCAAAGAGTTTACTAGAGTCAATAATCTAGTTCACATTACCATGTGATTAACACTCGATGAGTTCTGGGTTTGATCATGTTATGCTTGTGAGAGATGTTATATTCAACGGGTCTGAATCTTTTAGATCCGTATGTACTTCACAAATCTCTATGTCATCTTGTAGATGCAGCTACTACGCTATATTTGGAGCCATTTCAAATAACTGTTCTACTTGGAGCTATTCTAAATTGTTGCTCCATTATACGTATCCGGTATCTCTACTCAGAGCTATCCGGATAGGTGTTAAGCTTGCATCGACGTAACTCTTTACGTCGAACTCTTTATCACCTCCATAACCGAGAAACATATCCTTATTCCTCTAAGGATAATTTAGACCGCTATCTGGTGATCTACTCCTAGATTACCTTTGTACCCTCTTGCCAGATATGTGGCAAGGCACACATCAGGTGCGGTACTCAGCATGGCATACCGTATAGAGCCTATGACAAAAGCATAGGGGACGACATTCGTCCTTTCTCTTTCTGCTGCCGTGG